AAAAAATAAGTAAAGATATTATCCAAAAAAAAATTTATTTCAAGTTGATTTAAATTATGATTAACAAAAAAGGTTAAGCGTAATCTAACTCCACTACAATATTCTTTATGATTAATATGTGGTATTCTAAGTTCCACTTGCATGAGATTTATTTGGTAGATGATAGATTGATAATCAACATCAATATTTTCTGCATAAAAATCCAACCTTTTTTTTTTCACTAAAATTTTGTTAAGTAGATGAACTAACATCAATAAACTTATGAAGAAGAAAACATAAGCAATGCAAAAACACAGGAAAATATTTTAGAGGCAAAAAAAAAAAGAGTACTAGAGCACAACTTGAAGCAAGTTACAAAGAAAACTTGGTTCCAAAGTAGAGTGATTGGCTGCCAAGTTTACAATTAACTAGTAGTTACATTTCTCCTCAGCATACATACAACCCCACAAATTAATTCCCAATCTCATGTTCTGACACTGCAAAGTGAAAAAAGAATTGATATCAACAGTTTTTTGAATTTGAACCCTGCGATCTAACATTCCTAGAGTGGCTGTCTAAGGTACAACCTTACAAAGACAAGGTTTTGCCAGAACCAAAGCCTTAGAAGTGGTAAACTTATGGTCATGGACGATAGTTGACAATTACTGAACAGAAATGAATGGTTATGAAGAGGTTAGAGGATAAAGATTAGAGACTAGGTACAACCTCCTGAGGAAATGAAAAGATTCTGTGGAAACGTATGTCATCTGTTAGTAGCCCTGGCAGTGAAGAGGAAGCAGCAGCCATTTATTCTAGAAAAGTGTTTCAAGCAGTTTCGGGGAAGACAAAGCAGCCACAGATTTAAACTGGTAAAAACAACAAAGCTGTTAGGAAAGTTTTTGCAAATGCCTATATAAATATTTTGAACAAGAGAATGCAAATCAAGTAACCAATACAAATGCAACAGAATGCAAATAGAAGAAGCTTTGGTATTGTTGACATATGGATTGATTATTTACCTTCTCTTGCCTGTATTTCATGCGTATAGCATTTAGTGGACAGCCATCAGTGTTCAGTTGTAAATTCTGCAATGCAAGAACTGTGGTTTTTAGATCTGATGCCTTGTATGCTGTGTAGTGTTCAAGAGTTGGATTCTACAAAAGGAAAGACATGCCACACCAAAATTAAGTTAGGCTTCCAATTTAAAGCACTGAACCATATGAAATAACCAGTGAAGAGGAGAATGCAAACCCATGGGTGGCATGACTGATCCAATGTCCATCTGGCAAGAAATACAGCTGATGCAGCAATTGTGGAAGGAGGGTAATTTAAGAAATCATAGTCAATTAGCGTCAGTTCTGCAAGATAATTAGCCAAAAACTCCAGCTCGAAACTAGGGCTCTGCAAATTCCAATGAGGGATGGCAAAACTATGCTCAGACACTAAGCAGAAAGAATACAAAGCCAACTCTAACCTAAACTAACTATTGTACCTTGTAAGAAGCTTGTGCTGCTCTTAAAAATCTTCTGAAAGACAGATGTTTATCACAAAAATGAGAATTAGGATCATAAAAGATTGTTCTAACACAATCTACAGCTCATACCCAGAGGCCTAGAAAAACTAATGTCCATATATTACCTTAGAAATGTTTTTGCAGTGGGTGCAAATACTTGAAAACCAAAATACTTCAGCACTTGAGTCTCCATTTTCAGTACCTGCCAATTTAGTTTTAGTAAAAGTGTGACTGCAACCAGAGTATACAAGTAGTGAAACAAAGGAGGAACACAACCTGAATAGACCTGACATTCAGAAAACAGTTTACTTGGTCATAGTACTGATAACCAGACCAGAGAAGCGCTGGCAACATATTTATGTGCAAGGTGAATTATAATTTCTGACCATTACCACATAAAATCCTAAAAGTTAGAAAAATCTGAGAATAATTTAATACCCCAGAAAACCAGAACAGTTTCTTTCTTCTTTTACCCTTTTATCTTATTTTTCTGTTTGGCATTCAAATGCCAGCATAAAATTACCAGTTTCAACTCAAGACAACAACACAAGAGTCCATCCCTTGAATTTTCTACTGATCATTAGTTAACAAACAAAGGATTCATAAACTAGGTAAGAAAATTTACAACTGCAAAATAAAGACAATAAGGAAATGCAAAGGGTGCTGCACCTAAAACCAATAGTTGAGGCGATATTTAAATCATCAAAATGTTTAGGCACCTGACTGGCCATGAGTAAGAGTAACCACAACATACCTCCTCTCTCACGTAAGTGCTGTCTGTGATGAAGCAAAACTCTTCTACACGTGGTGCACAGATTTCTTCATACTTGCTTCAAGTCATAAAGAGTGAAACCAAAGTTAAATTTCCATTACAAAAAGCACAAAAGCAGTTATTTTATTAAGAAAGTAACATCTCCTTCCAATTAAAGCGTTCAAGTGCTAGCACTACTGACAGTAGATGGAGATTGCTGAATTAAGTACTACCAACAGAAGAACAAAGACAATAAAAGGATCAGAAAACACAGTTATTGTATAATATGACAGCAGAATAGGTTATTTATCACAAGAAAAATCCTTCCCAAGTAGGCTACTCTCATATTTCCAACAGGTACTGATTAACTCACTGAGTGCATTTGGCAATTATTTCCAAACTTAAAGATCAAGGTTCTATTCACCTTTTCAGCATAGAGCAAGCTGACACATCCAGAACAGTGGCAGTTGGACAATTCTTTATGGAATGCATTTTTAACTCTATTGACATTGACTGATTGAATTCTGACATTTTTAAGTAACATGATAACTATTTTTTAGAAATATATATATCCTTGATTTTTATAGTTATAGCCACAATATTGTGCGCTACTGAGTACTCATTATGTGTACCTCGTTCAGATTCCATTTTTTTACTCAAAAAAAGAACATGCAACAAAGTCTGCCATGGATATGAGAGCTTACGAGGCGATCAGCATACAAGTGATGCCTAACAGTTGAAGTTTTTGCCTTTCTACATAGTTCTCGCAGAGAAACCAATCAATCAAATACACTGTGAGGTAAAGTGTATCAGGCACCAACTTATATTCCTCAGAGACCTGAAATCAAGAGGGTATTAAATCTGTATCTGTTTCTTTCACTTTTTTCGGGAAAATAATGTATCAATAGTAACCAAATTAAACGGGCAATATATCAGTTTGACTCCCCATCAATGATCAATAGGAGTTAACAGTATATAAAACTATACTTCTCCTTCTGATCTGATATGAACTGTTAATAAAAATAACAGGCAAATAATTGCAAATTATGACCAGAGCGTAATAAACATAGCAGCAAACCAAACACAAACATCTAACGCATCAAGGCACTATGATAAAAACAACCTATAAGGTTAAGGTTGACAAGATCAAGCCACTTCCATGTATGGCAGGATATGCTCAGAACAACAAAGGTTGTGTATCTTATATAACCCAATAAGTAATATGACACTGCTAAAAATACTAAGTATGGTTAAAGGATATACACTAACCTCGACAAGCCAATCAACCAAGATTCCCCGCATGTTTTGTGAGATATCCTGCTGTATTGTCTCCATGAAATTAGGAAATGGCCTGCGGACAAGCTGTTGAAACAGAAGATTAACCACAAAAGCAAACATCAAGTGTCTAGCAGAGAACAAGGCAGCAGCAATTAGCAATAATATAGCTTTTCTATTTCATTTTCCTTGTTAAAGAAAGAACCTGGAATAGAGAGCAGATTCTGTTGGAACCAAAACAGGAAAATGCACTTGAAATATAATGGTATATACTAAAGTTTCACAAAACTAGAATTTTTAAACAATTAAACTCAAACAAAAGATTTCACAAGATCATTAAAGAAACACAACATCTCATAAATAAATTTATATGCTATGCTTGACTTAAAAGCTTAGAGAGAAAAAGGTCAATAGATGTAAGGTTTGTTTTGATTAGAGAGCAAGATTGCATTAGAAAAAGGGCGCTGTGAGGATACATCCTAATCCATGGCAATCAGCTTTTGTTTAAGCTAATTACTTTGCTACCTATACTCTGCTGGTCTTGGATTGAAATATAGGTAGTTTCTTCCCTAATGGATCAATAATCTCGTGCAATGAATAAGGAACCATAAAAGTTATGAAAATTAAAGAATGACATGCTGAGAACATACCTCAGCAACTCGCAAATTGGTGTATATAGCTGGGGCATAAAGGCGGCAGAATTGAGGATCCTTCATGTCTGAATCAATGTCTATAAATTCAGGATCACATGAAGTGACCAAGTTCCCATAAAAGCCAACCTTCTCTGCTTTAAGAATTTTCAAAATGTCAATTTCAACAGCAAAGAGTCATAAATGACAAAAACTACAAGCATTACTTCCGAAAATAGTCCCTTTATTTTCAGACACCACTTGTAGACATATGTTCTAATTGTAACCATTACCAAAAAATAATATCAGATATCTCAACATTTTCTTTTGTTTCCAATCTGGAAAAGAAACATATTGTTTAACAGCTAAGGACAAATAATCAAATGTAAAACTATGACTTATTAGCATATTATCAATAGAAGTCTCATTATGAGATGGGATATGATGAAAATAAAACCCACCTCCCAACAAAGTCAACAACAGACATACCTTAAAACAGAAATTTATTCAAGTACCAAAGAAATCTCCCAATGATTTTTACTTTCTTTCATATTATCTAAGCATGAAATCTCAGAATTGTTCTCATGTTCTTAAGGTTGTCAGATTTGGAGGTAAGGAAATTAAAAAAGAGACAAACCTTTTCTTGAAGGACTTTGGGGTTGAGAGAGCACTCCAGAACTGTTATTTGCAGCACAATGGTCATCCTTACCATTGTTCCATGTGGTAGTTGACCAAACTGAAGCATCTTCTTTGAGATTAATTGAGCATGAAGCTTCTTGTGATTTAGTTACTGCTTTTAAAGTCTCTTGGATGCATTTCCTTTGTATGTCAGGTTGCAGATGCTCGAGTTCTGCAGCTACAGAAGGTGCCACTTTCGACACATTTGCCAGGTCCTTTTTAGCCTTCTTAGTGACTTTAGGCTGGCAGTATAGCAGGTAAATAAAAAAGGGTAAAATTCAGAATCTTCAGTAAGCTCTCATGACAAAAGTACCAAACTACTCTTACAACAAGCTACACATTTATCTTATGCAATTTTGCTAATCAAAAGTAAGAATATCAGATAAAAATACATTTTGCTCAACCCCACTCTTTTTTGGGGCCTGCAAGACTAAAGTTTTGTAAGTGAGTTAGATTGTAGCAGTTAAATTAATTATATAAACAGATTGAACAAGCATGACATAATTTCGATGATAAAAGACAATGACTAAAGTTGTTACTAGATAGAGACTAGAAGATTGGCATGTTAACCTGGATTTTGGTTACACTAAAGCAGCTTCTGCGTGCACTGTTGCAGCAAACATTGGTGACATCCTGAAGTGCAGCTCTCTTCTTATGTTTAAGGCATGCTTTGTCAGATGCACTAGAGTTGTTCTGATCCAAGGCTGCTCTTTTTGCTTTTACTTGAAGAACCCGTTTCTGACCTAAATGATTGGAGGAACTCAGTGGTGGCAACTGCCCAGATTGGCGCAAAGCAGCAGCACGAGCACGCGTGATTCGACCACTAAGCACCCTAACATTGGCAGAAACTACATTTTCCTTCCCCATGTTAACGAGCCTTCGAGAAGAAGAGCAGAAAGGGATCAATCCTGCGTAAAATCAAACCATGCCTGGTTAACTTTGAGAAAAATAGTTTACATGCGCATCCAAACAAAAAAAAAAAAAAATCGAAATCAAACTTCTGGAAATCTGTAACAGGTAATGAGTCAAACTGTTGCTTCAGACATTAGGACCCATTAAAGAAAAATAAACCAGGAAAGCAAGTTAACGTTTAGATTTGAAAATCTTACTTCAAATCTTTTCAAATTTTGAGAAAAATAGTTTACATATGCAAACTTATATAGTAATCTAAGACGCATATGTACAACCAAAAATCAAGCTAACATTTGCAAACAAATTTCAAAATGAACAGACACAACCATTCAATCAAAAATGCACATGGAAATTAAAAGGAAATAAAATTTTCCATCTAAATAGTTTCCAAAAATAGAGGATATTGAACGAGATTCAGCTAATAAGTAAAAATAAACGAATTAAGTAGATTCCATGAATTTTATCCTGCCTCATTAAATTCTCAAAACCAAAAAATTGTACCCACTTTTCTTTCCTTTTTCCCTCATTTTCCCACCTACCAAACAAAATAACATTTCCCACCACATACCCATTTCTCCAAACCTTCAAAAATTTCCAAAAACAGTAAACCCTAATCGATCTCTTAACTAACAATCCACATTGAATTAAGATTTACAACCAAAAAAAAAAAAACACAGCCCAAACATCTATAAAACCCCACACACATTGTGAAAATGCATGAATAGATTCGAAATTGACCTGATTCTCAGGCCTTCTAAGCTCAAAGAAACATTTCTGCGAGCTTAGAAGGAAGAAGAAGAGAGTGAGCTTGTTTGAGTGAAGAGGGAGAAAGGAAGAAGGGAGTGGGCGGGATAGTGTGGGTTTGAAACGTACAGAACGAGGAAGACAGGGTTTTAAAAAAAAAATTAAAATTAAAATTGAAATGAAGGAAATTAAGTATATATTTTTTTAAAAAAAATTATTGGGAATATTTTAATTGGAGGAAGGCATTGACTTGTTGACCGAAAAAAAAATTGTGTGGCTGTGAAGACAGGTCATCATGATCGATTGTTGTATTATTATTACAGCAATTTTTGCTTTTGATTTTGTGATATCCGGATCGTCATTCTACTTTACAATTTTAACCCTGATATTTGGATTTATTACTTCATTAGAACTGTTTCGAATATTCAAATACAAGAATTTGGGTGGATTATTAATCTACCTAAATAATTAATATCATATCTTTTGAATATAATTATTTATTATATTTTTATATTATATATTTTTTAAAAATTTATATTTTTT